GGGTTGACGTTCGGGTTCACATTGATGTTGGCATTGGCACCGCCGTTGCCGCCATCAAAGAGGCCGTAGCCGTTGAGGCAGTTCTGGACGAGGCTACTGATGGCACCACCAAGGTTGATACCGAGGACGCTGCCGCCAGAGCCACCGTTACCCCAGCCCGTGGCGCGGAGGTTTTGGGTCGTGGTGGCGGCCGAGGCCGAGTCGATGCACTGGACTGCGACGAGGGCACAGAGAGCGGCGGGAACAAAGGTCTTCATGGCTGCTGTTGGTGGTGGTGGTGCTCGAAAAGTGGCGAATTGGAAAATGAGAGTGTCTTTCAACAGCGTCCAAGGATCATGAACTTTGGTGGGGTCGATCCTCATCCGAGATTTCGGATCTCTGGCTGGTAGACCGGACGTTTCAGGAGAACTCTAGCGCATGGCGAACGTCATTCGGACATCTGTTCATGCGAGTTGTTGGATCACGCTACACCAAGGGTCAATTATTTATTGACCCTTGGTTGCACCAACAATGCACGCTTCGGCGTGTGGTATCAATAATACTGTATGGTTCATGTACGACTCTCATGGAATGCGGTTCATGTCAAGTCAAACGGCAGGATCGAATGCAAGCAGTTTCATCGCATGGAGAAGCGATGGTCGGATGCGCGACGTATGCGAGTTAGGATGTCACTATGTATGTCTGGATGTGTACATTGTCGGGTTTATACTACACGTGTAGCCTATACAATGTAGTACGAATAGCACTGTACGAATGAGTGGAGAGAAGACCTTAAGATGTACTAGTAGCCCAAAGAGCTCATACAGGCGGGTTCACGAGGTAAAAAAGAATGTAAATAGAGGAAAGCTCGGCGAAGTGGTGTCGTACAGGGTCACTGGAAATGGCGAAATATGGTCATCAAACGACCAAACGACTACGGTAATGGGTTACAGATGCGGAGTTTAGCTTCGACGCCCGTACATGCACTGGTACATCTCTTGTCACCTGTCAATCGTTCTTTCTGCGCATGTGCTTCGAGACTCGAGGCGGTCTTGCGAGAGTACCATGGGATCTGTAATGCGAAAAATCATGAGTAGCTTCCACTTGATTTTGTAGTCTGGTTTGATTCAAATGACAGCTGTGCGCAGCTCCGACAAACGCGTTGTCAACAAATCCTGATAGGACGTTCGTCACATGTTGGCGTTCGCTAGAAACGTCCGGTCCGCAAGTCTGTGCCATATATGTTTGCCCATGAGTAGGTTTAAGGAGTTCCGAGCTTCAAGATCTCCAATCTCTACTACTCTTGTCAGGTTCAAGCCACTCCGATAAACAACGACGCGAAAATGCAATCTTGACGTTTGCCACTCCCCGCATTGCCCCCATGCGAGCACTCCCTGCATGGCGAATATCACGACATCGTAACTACATGCACCATGCAGTATTTGATACCACACGCCGAAGCGTGCATTGTTGGTGCAACCAAGGGTCAATAAATAATTGACCCTTGGTGTAGCGTGATCCAACAACTCGCATGAACAGATGTCCGCATGACGTTCGCCATGCGCTAGAGTTCTCCTGAAACGTCCGGTCTACCAGCCAGAGATCCGAAATCTCGGATGAGGATCGACCCCACCAAAGTTCATGATCCTTGGACGCTGTTGAAAGACACTCTCATTTTCCAATTCGCCACTTTTCGAGCACCACCAACAACAACTGCAACCATGAAGACCTTTGTTCCCGCCGCTCTCTGTGCCCTCGTCGCAGTCCAGTGCATCGACTCGGCCTCGGCCGCCACCACGACCCAAAACCTCCGCGCCACGGGCTGGGGTAACGGTGGCTCTGGCGGCAGCGTCCTCGGTATCAACCTTGGTGGTGCCATCAGTAGCCTCGTCCAGAACTGCCTCAACGGCTACGGCCTCTTTGATGGCGGCAACGGCGGTGCCAATGCCAACATCAATGTGAACCCGAACGTCAACCC